AGGGAGTGCGAGAGAGAGAGAGAGAGACCGTGGCGTTTGCTGTTTTTGCATGTGCATCGGGTTTGTGCTAGAATTCTCAAGTCCAGGCTCTGTGTGTGACATTGCCCGACGGGAGGAGGGGGGAGGGTGCTTACGTTCAAGTGGTACTTGGTCGGCTGCGGCCGTCTGGCTACACAAGTGTCCGTGCCAAAGTCAGTCTAATGGCTGCAGGTCAGCGCGTCTGGGCTTAACCGCTGAAGGACTTGTGATGCATCGTGAGTGGCCTTGAGCTGTTCAAGCCCTGAAACAAAGAAGTTGAGCGGCGCCTTTTCTATCTGTTGACTCCCTCTGTCTTCGGCTGCTTCCCTGTAAATGACCCAAGTGTGAACACTTACAGTTTGTCATCTATTCCAAACCTCCAAATAATTGTATTTGGGGGCCGTTTTATGGGTGGATCCTAGGTTCTTTTACCGACTCAGTTAACTGTTTATAGCTATTAAACGTCTAGTTCTGGTAGGCAGTCGTCCTATCATTGGAGACAGCGATTCAAGCAAGCGAGACATATCAGCAAAAGCAAGACAAACAGGAATGATCGTTGCTGGCTTAATTGCTGTCCTCTCAACCAGGGATGTAAAAGATCTATAATTTTGCTTATAAGTCGAAACTCCAAGGCTCTTAGTAAGGCTTTACATTAACAAACCGGTGCGAGCGCGTTTTGGCCTCCAGGGTGGCCAGACTCCACATCTAGCGGACGACATTTCAGATGATTAGGAGTTTAAAAATTGCGTGCGTTAGCGAGACAGAATGGTATTACCGAAAAAGACAAGGGGGACCGGAATGGCCATTTCTGGCTTATTAGCCGTCGTCAGCCAGTCACACCCAACCCCGGAGTGTGGAACACCCGGGACTCGATCCCGCGATGTGTTGGTTAGAAGTCTAACGCCTCTAACTACTGAGCCATGGGCTCGTTGTCCTGTCTGTTGAGATCGGGAATGCACCATGGTAGAGGGGCGCTCACCGATCGTTTTTACGGAACTCACTCGTTCCGTTGTGCCTTACGGGCTCTCTCTCGGGCCCAACCAGCAGCGGCACAGCACCGCATGATATAGGCAGAACGTTATTACCGACAAAGACAAAAGTAGATGGGGAATGGCCCGTAAGGCACAAAGGGACAAGTGAGTTTCGTAGAAACGATCGGTGTGCACCCCTCTCCCATTAACGAGGCAACCCGTATAACGTGAACAGAGGTGGTCGCAGTTCAAGGGGCTTACGTCACTTGATATCGTTTCGCTCTGTCATTCGGCTTAGCTTTTAAGTCCCAAAACGAAGGCTGAATGAAGACCTCAGACATCGATTTTTAGGACTATACTCCTATGTGCGTTCTCGGTTCCCATAGGCCTAACTTTAACCCCTCTTGAAAAATAACAGGGACAGATACCCCGAGAACCGGGACGACGTGATATTAGGACACGGGAATAGGAATGCCCCACAATACCGGTCGTCTTGCTATAGAATCCAGGGACGTGCAGGGGTTATGGTCAAGGTTAGGACACGGGAATATGTACGTGGAATTTAGCGTAATGCCATTTGTATTTTGGGGGCAGGCGGTTCCTATTTCCGTGTCTTGCCGACGTCATGAACGAAAATGACAAGAAGGCGCCTAATACGATTTCGAAAACAAGTAGGGAAATTACCAAGATCAGTTAGTGACTAGTGGATGGAAGTATTATATTTTCAGTAGATTATTCTTCCTTCGACAGTACCAGCATTAGTACAATACGAAATTTCTAATCTAGAATTTCCACCCTGCGCGCAGGAGATACACCTAACCAAAAACAATGTCAGGAATACTCTTGTTGACGCAAGCCGTATTCTAAGTACATAGTCCACTGAGGTGAGAGCAACCGAGGGCGTCGAGTGCGGGCTGCGAGTCCACTGGCCCCTTATCGATTGGTAGCGATTTACTGGTACTAGTAAGGAGCGTTGCGCCCAAGGCACTGTGCCATGCTCGCGGCCCGATGGCGTGGCGTGCAGCCGTCATTACTACTCGCGAAGAAGGGGGCCGCGATCGCTGGAACAAGAGCTTTATTAGCCTGACGTTTCGGATTCTCACTCGTCCTTGCTACTGTGCCGAGGAGAGGGGGGAGGGGTCGCGCAACTCGAGCATAACGATCTTTCCCACAGAGAGGAGCAACCCTGGGAAAATCCCGCTACGGTCCTCGTTCACTTCAACCTCCAGATGTTGTGCACAAGTGAATGATTTGGTAGTAAAGTCTTCAAGGGGAGGCATAGCGAGATAAGGGCAGGAAGGAGGAGACGGACTCCTCAGTCCCATTTCTTGACAGTTTTGGCCTACTACACCCCAGAATCATCTTTTCTCTGCCAAAAAGTGCACTAAATGAGATTTCTTATCACAATCACCGGTCTTGTTCCGACAACCTCCTTCCCTGTATTCCTACCCGTCTCTTAAAACTGTCGGCTTCCTTCAGACAAATCTGGGTTTGTTGTGATGCAGACGCCGAGGTTTTGCATCTAGTAAAAGAGGAGACACGATCGCTGGGATCGCTGCATCTAGTCCTTTGGGCGCTGTGCGAGAAATTGCCCTCACATGTCCTGCCAG